TAGGTGATCCGCCTGCCTCAGCCTCCCAAAGTGCTGGGATTACAGGTGTGAGCCACCATGCCTGGCCTTTTTTTTTTTTTTTTTGAGATGAAGTCTTACTCTGTCGCCCAAGCTGGAGTTCGGTCGCATGAATTTTTGGCTCACTGCAACCTCTGCCTCCAGGGTTCAGGCGATTCTCCTGCCTCAGCCTCCTGAGTAGCTGGGATTACAGACACACACCACCATGCCCGACTAATTTTTGTACTTTATGTTTTTTTTTTTTTTGAGACGGAGTTTCACTCTTGTTACCCAGGCTGGAGTGCAATGGCGCAATCTCGGCTCACCGCAACCTCCGCCTCCTGGGTTCAGGCAATTCTCCTGCTTCAGCCTCCTGTGTAGCTGGGATTACAGGCACATGCCACCATGCCCAGCTAATTTTTTGTATTTTTAGTAGAGACGGGGTTTCACCATGTTGACCAGGATGGTCTCGATCTCTTGACCTCGTGATCCACCCGCCTCGGCCTCCCAAAGTGCTGGGATTACAGGCTTGAGCCACCGTGCCCGGCCAATTTTTGTACTTTGTATTACTCGCTCTATGTGCTCACCTGAGTGGTTTACCACTGTGTTGTTGGCCCCCTTTTTCGGATGGGGAAACTGAAGCACAATTGTTAGGGAAAAGCCAGAATCCAGGGTCACACAGCCTGGCTCTGTGTTCTCCGATGCTGCTGCCTGCACTGTGGCTGCTGCGGGGGAGCAGGTGCTGGAACCCGCCGACGTGGCTGCACCTACAGGCCTCAGCATGGAACATATTCCCAGGAAGCAGGCTCCTAGCACAGTCCCCACCCCGCAACATGGCACAGCTCTGTGGACTGTGTTGGTGGCATTCAGAGGCCACTTTCCTGCATCGGCTGAACTCACTAAAATGAACATTACCAGGACTTCGGGCTTTTCAGGGAAAGCCTGGCTGCCTCCCACTGTGTCCTTGAAAGCTTGGCATCCTAGCCCTGCCTGGCCATCCCCACCTCTGAAACCCATTTACCTGTTACACCAGTGGTCTGGCTGCACACTGGAGTCAGCTGGGGGTTCTTTAAAACATACCCTGAAGTTCTGAATTAACTGACCTGGGGTGAGTCCTGATAGAGCAGGCGTCCCCAAACTGCGGCCCCCTGAGGCCATTTATCCGGCCCCCCGCCGCACTTCAGGAAGGGGCACCTCTTTCATTGGTGGTCAGTGAGAGGAGCACAGTATGTGGCGGCCCTCCTACGGTCTGAGGGACAGTGAACTGGTCCCCTGTGTAAAAAGTTTGGGGACGCCTGTGATAGAGGACCTTTAGAAGCCTCCCAGGTGATTCTAATGGGGCCAAGTTTCAGAACCATTGCTTTAAACTTTTAATTTACCTTTTTTTTGAAGACAGGGTCTCGCTTTGCTGCCCAGGCTGAAGTATCACTTCAGCCTCCAACTCTTGGGCTCAAGTGACCTCTCCACTTCAGCCTCCTGAGCAGCTGAGACTAAAGGGGCCATGTCACCATGCCCAGCTAATTTTTTACTTTTTTTTTTTTTTTCGGCCAGGTGCAGTGGCTCACTCCTGTAATCCCAGCACTTTGGGAGGCCGAGGCGGGCAGATGACCTGAGGTCGGGAGATGGAGACCAGCCTGACCAACATGGAGAAACCCCATCTCTACTAAAAATACAAAATTAGCCGGGCGTGGTGGTGCATGACTATAATCTCAGCTGCTTGGGAGGCTGAGGCAGAACTGCTTGAACCCAGGAGGCGGAGGCTGCGGTGAGCTGAGATTGCGCCATTGCACTCCAGCCTGGGCAACAGTGAAACTGTCTCAAATTAAAAACAAAACAAAACAAAAATTAGCCAGGCTGGGTGGCATATATACATATATATATACATATATATATGTATATATATATATATAAATAGATTTCTTTTACATGTATATATATATAGTTTTTTTCAGAGACGGGGGCTCGCTGTTGCTGGGGCTAACCCCAGGCCTGTCTTAAACGTTTCACTGAGAACGGTTTCTTGAAACTTGGCCTGCATGTTGCCTGTCCTGCCTCAGACCCAGGAAAAGCCCCAGAGGCCTGCACTTCTGGTCGGCTGTCAACGTCAGGAATGTGCTTTGCTGCTGGGTCAGGAAGTTTGGTCAGTCAGCTTTCCTTATCTGGGGCCTCTGTGTCTCCAGGGTCAACGCGGTAAAATGCTCAGTCCAGCCTGCAATGGAAACACCTCCGCCCCAGTCCATCGGCCGCCTTTTGGGGTGGTGCTGACTGGAAGGGATCCTACCTACCTGTTTGCCATCTAACCTCAAGAGTGATACGTGAGGTTGACGTCACAGTCAGGGAATGCTGACATTAAACCAAACTGAAAAATACGAATGTTAACTTTGCTGCCTTGGAATTGATAAACAAGCTGTAGAACACTCCAGTAACTGTCAGACGCAGTTTGGTGATTTACTTCCCCCAGAGTCAGTGCGCAGACAGATAGCGGTCATTAAATCCTGCAAAGGGTTAGTGTTTGGGGTTTTATGTGTGATGACTGCATTAAGTTAGAATGACTTTGTTACTGCCGTCATCTGGAGATGAAGTTTAAGCAAATGCGTGTGGGTGCAGAGCTCACAGGGCTGAACCACGATGGCTTTGTAGTGTGTCAACTTGACTTGAGTTCCCAGCTATTCAAATATTAATCTAGGTATTATTGTGAAACTATTTTGCAGAGGTAATTAAAGCTACTAGTAAGTAAATGTTAAGGAATTATCCTAGATACTCTAGTTCTGCCCAAGCCCATAAGCGAGGTGTTTTTTTTTTTTTTTTTTTTAAAAGACAGTCTCAGCTGGGCGTGGTGGCTCATGCTTGTATTCTCAGCACTTTGGGAGTCTGAGGCAGGCGGATCACAAGGTCAGGAGGTCAAGACCAGCCTGACCAACATGGTGAAACCTGGTCTCTATGAAAAATACAAAAATTAGCCAGGCGTGGTGGCACATGCTTGTAGTCCCAGCTACTTCGGTGGCTGAGACAGGAGAATCACTTGAACCTGGGAGGCGGAGGTTGCAGTGAGCCAAGATTGCGCCACTGCACTCCAGCCTGGGAGACAGTGAGACTCTCAAAAACAAGGTCTAAAAAAAAAAAAGACAGTCTCATTCCATCACCCAGGCTGAAATAAGAGTGGTGCTCCAACCTCTTGCCTCCTGGGTTCAAGAATTCTCTTATCTCAGCCTCCCAAGTAGGTGGGATTATAGGTACACACCACCACTCCCAGCTAATTTTTTGGGGTTTTTAGTAGATACTGGGTTTTGCCATCTTGGTCAGGCCGGTCACAAACTCCTGACCTCAGGTGATCCACCCACCTCAGCTTCCGAGGAAGTACTGAGATTACAGGTGTGAACCACCACGCCCGGCCAGTGAGGTAGTCTTAAAAGCCAAGATTTTGAAAGAAATTTCCCCTGTGAAATGGTAGCTTCGCTCAGGCCCCTGGAGTTCCGGCCTGCTGCTCGCCGTCATCCCGTCCCACTGGCAGCCCTATGGATTTCAGACGTGCTCACTCAGGCCCCACGATCACAGAATCCTCTTATTTTTGAGAAAGGGTCTCGCTCTGTCACCCAGGCTGGAATACAGTGGTGTGACCTTGGCTCACGGCAGCCTTGACCTCCTGGGCTCAATCAATCCTCCAGCCTCAGCCTTCTGAGTAAGTATGCCACCGTGCCCAGCTAACTTCTGTGTTTTTTGTAGAGACAGGGTCTTGCCATGTTGCACACGCCAATCTTTAGCTCCTGAGCTCAAGCAATGCTCCCACCTCAGCCTGTGTTGGGTTTACAGGCACGAACCACTGAACCTGGCCACCAATTCTTAATCTCTACCTTTCCTTCTTACTGGTTCTGCTTCTCAGATTAAATCCTGAGATAAATGAACAAGAATGTCCACAAGAGGGCTCCCCAGCTCCCTGACTGTGCACTGGAAAGCACAACTCAAGATACTGATTTGAGAGAAAATCAAATAGAACATGAGACTTCTTCAAGGGGCAGATGGCAACCAGTTTCTCATCTCTGACTTTTATTACTTATTTTTATTTGAGACGGTCTTGCTCTGTTGCCAAGTGTAACGGCATGATCTTGGCTCACTGTAACCTCCACATCTTGGGTTTAAGCCATTCTCATGCCTCAGCCTCCTGAGTAGCTGGGATTACAGGTGCATGTAACCACATCCAGATAATTTTTATATTTTTAGTAAAGGCGGGGTTTTGCCATATTGGCCAGGCTGGTCTTGATCTTCTGACCTCAGGTGATCTGCCCACCCTGGCCCCCCAAAAGCTGGGATTACAGGTATGAGCCACCACACCTGGCCTCATCTCTCTCTTCTAAATAAATGTATTCCTCACACCCTGTATTTAGCATTTCGAAAGAAATTTCCTAGAACAGTACTTTCCACAACATTCAAGTTTTCTATCTGCATAATCCGATGCAATGGGCATCAGCTACAAATGGCAGCTACCGAGCACGTGCAACCTGATGTGTGAGAAACCAAGGAATGCAATTCGTTCATTTAAATGGGGTCCCGAGGTCTTCCGGGTACCCTTCTACGTTCCTGCCCAGAGTTCCCTTTCAATCCTTCTACTTGCTTTCCCCAGGAAGAGACCCACATCTTAGCTCTTCCCAGGATGGTCACATTTACCCTGGAGTCCTTCTGGCCTGAACAGTATGGTTACATAACCCAGTAGCTACCATCTTTAAGATGATCAACACATAGGCCTGCATTTGAATTGTCTTCCAAATTAGGTGTCTGAACAAAGTCTTGCTCTGCCTCTGAGCTTAGACTCCCTGCTGTGACCCCACGACTCTGGAGGGATAGCGGATAGCGTCTCCTCTCTTGCATTTGCCTCGTCTCCTCCCAAGGACCCAGGAAAATGTTCTCTACAGAGTTCTCAAAGGCCAACACCCTATGGGCAGGCCCCCTGAACACTAAGGACAAGACCCAGACTGTCCCAAATACACACGGCCACACAAAACAGGGTATTCTCATGGTTCACTGATGCCTTTTATTTTGAGCACAAAACCACTGGGGATCTTGCCTGAGCCACACCCCGGAAATGACACTGGAGGTTCATACTGCTGCAGACACTTGGTGGAAAGCGAGGCGAGAAAAACAACAATTTGGGCCAATTACATGACTGCAAAGCTAGGGCTGCCAAGAGGGCTCCAGGGAGCCTGGCTGCTGCGGAAGTTCTAAGGAAGCAGTGCGAACTCCACCGTGGTGGGCGAGGGGAGCTAACTAGCAGGGGCCCCTGCGAGTGCTGGTCGGGGGGCCTGGAGCTGCCCGAGCTGACACAAGGGGAGGAGTCTAACCAGCCAACAGGCGACTGAAGGGCTGGCCTGCCCACCGCTTACTTGGCCAGGGGGTTTCTGAAGTTCCTGCCAGCAAACTTGGCCTTGCTGCCCAGCTCCTCTTCAATTCTTGGAAGAGATGGGGAGGAAAAAAGAAAAGTCAGTCTTCAAGTTGTAAGTTTTCCCACCCCAGATGTCAAAGACACAGACAGCCCCACTCCTCTTGGGAAGCTGAGAACCCGGAACTCTCCAGTTTGTCCACCTTCTTAAACCCTCTATACTGTGCTGCTCTGAGACTCGAGAAACAGAGAAAATGTGTGTGCTGCTTGAATCTTGATGTTAGACCCTGTCTCAAACAAACAAAACAACAAAAAAGTCCATGTCTACTGTTCACCTGCTTTTTTTGTGGATGCCTGAAAATTCCCAGGATTCAGTTTTAATGAAGGGGTAATAAGGAAGTACTCAGGAATGGGTGTTCCGTTTCCCTACAAGTCCAGGAAATAATAACTAAAAAAGGGGGCAAGTCTCCCAGTGTTCAGGGGCTTTCCAAGGACACAGACAGGAAAGGGGGACCAGAACCAGCCCCGCAGTGCCGACGAGTGAATCCAGCCATGTGTCTTTTGGCTTTTTCTTCCTCCCTCCAAGCCCTGGCTCCACATCCACAAAAGAGGGGTTAAGTGGCTGAAACAGATCATATGAAGCAACTCTGAAAGCTGTAAGGCTCAACTGTTGAAGGGTCCTATCCTCCCTCACCAGAAGAGGGCAGCACTGTGTGGAACAGGCTCCTGCCTCTGGTGGCACTGGGCGGGTGCGGGGTCTATGCCTAACTCTGCCTGGACCTAAGCCTGATCTGGGCCTGGCTGTCTGCACTGTGCGCCTGTACCCATACACGTTCCCAGAGCCAGAAGCCCCTGGGGAGGGGCAGTGCCTACTCTGAGTGCAGGCCCCTGTTCTCAGGAGCCCCCCTTACCTGAGGAGCTGGTTGTACTTGGCCAAGCGCTCAGATCGGCAAGGGGCACCAGTCTTGATCTAGGAGAAAAGAAAGGCCATTCGCTTATAGCAGACAGACAGGCTTTACAGGCATTTCTGGCAGGGAGAGGGTATGATGTCAGAGATAATTTCTAGAAGACCTGACCCTAGGACAGAGGGTCCATATCACACAGGAAGGGCACTCATGGCCTTGTTCTGTTCAGGTTCTGAAACCAGGGCAGTGACTCAGGGGAGATGAGCAACAACAGGACAGACATGGAACGGCACTGGTTTTGGGTATTCCTAGGAAGCTGAGGTCAGAGAGAAGAAAGGAGACGCTCATTCTCACCTGCCCAGTGCATAGCCCCACCACCAGGTCGGCGATGAAGGTATCTTCAGTCTCCCCAGAACGATGAGACACCATGACGCCCCAACCATTGGCCTGGGCCAACTTGCACCTGGAAGCCAAGAGACAACCCAGATGGCATGAGCGCATTTTCTGGTGCCACAAACCCCAATGCCATTATTCCTCAGTGCCGGCAGGGGAGCAGCGGCAGGGCTGCCAGTGGCTAAAGCTCTCCATGCGTGGGCTGTCAAGAGCAGAGGACAACTGTCACCCTCCTCTGAACTCTTCCACCTCCAGGACCTTCTCAGCCTGCTTGTCATGGTTCAAACATTGGGTTCAGCCTCCCTTGATGAGAGAAAGACTAGTGATCCCTGACAGAGCCCCTCACAGATACATCCGCTCAACCACCATCTCCACGTAAAATGAAGGCACGTGTCAAAAGCCACAAGGAATCAGGAACAGGCCATCAGTGCTCAACACTCCAGGCCACTTAACTCATTAATTTAAAAAACAGACTCTTACTATGTTGCCCAGTGTGGTGTCAAACTCCTGGGCGTAAGCGATCCACCTGCCTCAGCCTTCCAAAGTGCTGGGACTATAGGCTTGAGCCACCACACCCGGCGTATTTACTTTAGAGCCAGGGTCTTGCTCTGCCACCCAGGATGGAGAGCAGTGGTGCAATGACAACTCACTGCAGCCTCAAACCCCTGGACTCAGTCAATCCTCCCGCCTTAGCCTCCTGAGTAGCTGGGAATACAGGAAAATGCCATCACTCCCGGCTCATTTTTTGAGACAGTCTCGCTCTGTCACCCAGGCTGGAGTGTAGTGGCACAATCTCAGCTCACTGTAACCTCTGTTTCCTGGGTTCAAGTCATTCTCCTGCTGGGACTAAAGGTGTGTGCCACTGCACCTAACTAATCTTTGTATTTTTAGTAGAGATGGGGTTTTCACCACGTTGGCCAGGTTGATCTCAAACTCCTGACCTCATAATCCACCCATCTTGGCCTCTCAAAGTGCTGGGATTACAGGTGTGAGCCACCACGCCGGGCTGTGGCTCATTTTTTTAAATTGGTTTGGAGAGATGAGATCTTGCTATGTTGCCCAGGCTGGTCTTGAACTCCTGAGCTCCTCCTGCCTTGGCCTTCCAACATACTTTTCAATTGAAAAGGCTCCTGAGCTCAAACACGAAACCTGTTGAAATTCCAAGGTGCCCTACATTCTGGCCAGCAGGATTCCCCATCATTGGAAAAAAAGGGCCCTTTTTCCGATTCACAAGGTACAGCTGCGGGCAAGCTGCTGGCCGGGAAGACACTCACGCCTGCAGGGACTCGGTCACGGAGCCAATCTGGTTCACTTTGAGCAGGAGGCAGTTGCAGGACTTCTCATTTGCAGCCTTGGCAATCCTCTTCGGGTTGGTCACTGTGAGATCATCCCCCACCACCTGGATTCCTACACCGGCTGTGAACTTCTGCCATGCTCCCCAGTCATCCTGGTCAAAGGGATCTTCGATAGACACCACTAAGGGAAGGAGGGACAGGCCTCATCAGTGTGATCCTCCCAGCGTGCTCCACTGCAGCGCCCAGAGCCTTGCCTCCCACTTCACTTGCTGCCTGCCTGGCCCCACACTGCCCAAAATCATAGGACATGGATGTCCCCCAGCTGATCCTGGAAACACTGTGCCCACCAACCTACTCCTGCAGCAGGGGACACAAGTCACCCACAGTCCTGGGTCTAAAGGTCTTAAAAAAAAAAAAAAAAAAAAAAAAAATCTCGCTGCCACCCAGACTTGAGTGCAGTGGTGCAACCATAGTTCACTCCAGCTGCAAAATCCTGGGATCAAGCGATCCCACCTCAGCCTCCCCAGTCACTGGAACTACAGGGGTATGCCGACCCACCCTGCTACTTATTTTAATTTTTGTGTAGAAATGGAGTCCTGCCATGTTCCCTACGCTAACCTCAAACTCCTGGGCTCAAGTGAGGATGTCTCAGCCCCTCGGCATGCTGGGATTACAGGTGTGAGCCACCATACACCCGGCCTCAAAACAAAAAAAAATTTTTTTAGACCTACAAGAGGACATGTATTTACCTAGGGTGGTTTGAGTTTAGTGCCACTGAAGATCAGAATGGAGCCACACTCAGAAGTAAGAAGACCTGAGTTTGGGTCTTGGCTCAACCTCGAACGCTCAGACTCTGGAGTCAGATTTCCCTGTCTGAATTCTTGGCTCACCATTTGCTGTGTGCTCTCGGGCAGATTATTCAGATATACCACCCACCCCCTCCTTGCAGCCATCACTAGCCAGCCAGATGCTCTCGCTGCCCTGCTGCAGGTGGGTGGCTGGAAAGGGGAGATGGCACCCTGGAAGCACTCACCTGGGTAGTCCTTGATGAAAGACTTGTACAGGTCGGCCAGCTGGTCAGGTGAGATGTACCTGCTGGGGTCATCAGGAGACTTAAAGTCCAGGTCATACTTCCCAGACCTGTAGAACTCGGAGGCCGCCACATCCATGCCGATGACCACCTTATCGGTGTAGCCAGCTTTCCCAATTGCAGTCTTCAGCAGCTCCAGGCCTAGGAAGAGATGGCAGCAACAGGTTTGGAAAACAGGCAGATAGAGAGAAAACTTCCCTTCAACAGCTGCTACACAGGGACTGTAACACAAAGATCAAAAGGTGTTCAGGCTCCAGCAAGTAGTTCTGACAATGTCAGTTACTCTTTTTTTTTTCCTGCTTTGGGGCAAGAAACCATGGGTCAGAGCTCTTGGTGCATACTATGTGGGAAATTCAGTACAGCTTCCAAGAAGGTAGCCTTTCCCACTGACAAATGCTCCCAAATTTAGTGCCCAGGAACAGCTGTCCTGGCCAAGACACAGTTACAGTAACGAGCTGAGATCAGCTGTCTCGAGGCACACACCTTCAACAGTGCTGAAGCGGGACCTAAGAGAAAGCCCAGTGAAGGGCAGCCCTCGGTGGCAGGACCCTCCCACCAGGCTGGGCTGTGCCGTCCACAGCTGAGCTGCCCTGCCAGCAGGATAGACAGACACTTGGCTCCTCAAGTTATTAGGTACTGCTTGAGCCCAGGAGGTGGAGGCTGCAGTGAGCCGAGATCGCACCACTGCACTCCAGCCTGGGCGACAGAGCGAGACTCCATTTCAAAAAAAGAAAAATGAAACAAAATTAAAAAATGAAGCTTCTCTTTTCCTCCTTAAAACCCTTTTGGAGGGTCTTGATCGTAACTACAGGTGGAAAGAACACATTTCCCACAAAGGCATGTGTGGACGACCCCCCCCGAGGGAGCTGGCACAGCGCCTTTACCTTCTTTATTCTCCAGGATGTTGGGAGCAAACCCGCCTTCATCGCCCACATTGGTGGCATCTTTCCCATATTTCTCCTTGATGACATTCTTCAGGTTGTGGTAAACCTCCGCTCCAATGCGCATGGCTTCCCTGAAGTTTGCGGCACCCACTGGGAGGATCATGAACTCCTGCATGGCCAGCTTGTTACCAGCATGGGAACCACCATTGATGACGTTGAACGCCTGGGGAGAGCAGGGCGGAGAAGCATGGCACCAGGCACGACTCATATTTTTAGAGACAGGGTCTTGCTATACTGGTCTTGCTCAGGCTGGTTTCAAACCTTTGGGCTCAAGTGATCCTCCTGCCTCAGCCTCTTCATTAGTTGGGACTACAGGCACGCACTTCTGCACCCAGTTGACACCATTTTGATAGTTGCGAATTTATTATAATCAGAATAAACACTTGTTACTATGTCAGCTAAGGCTCACAGCCTAGCAAGGAAAGTACTGCTGTCATTTCCTCCTCCAGCCTCCATCACAGATAAAGGACTTGGGGCACAGGTGTGAGTTAAGTTCCTGCTCAAGGCCACTCTTAAGGGGCAGAGCTGTGCTGGAGAGTCACGTGTGTTAAGAGGTCGAGGCACAGGTCTTAGGTTCCCAACCAGCAAGCTGAAACCCCCAACTCCTTGCTCGGGAAGTTCCAATAAGCCACTCACCGGCACTGGTAGGATGACTTCGGAGTTGCCAGCCAAGTCGGCAATGTGGCGGTACAGAGGGACCCCCTTCTCAACAGCACCGGCTTTGCAGACGGCGAGGGACACCCCCAGAATGGCATTCGCACCGAACTTAGCTAGAACAGAAGAGAACGGAGTGAAATCTCTGACTCTCCAACTTCTGTCCTGCTGTACTGTACCTGAGGTTGCATTCTGCACCACCACCTCTCCCCACCACACCTCCGCCTCAGTTACGGACCCACCACTGCTGTTCCCCTCTGCAACACAGCCCAACTCCAGTCAACTAGAGGAACTGCCGAATGTATTTCAAGAAGCAAAGCTCTTCTGAGTAACCAAACTGATGGGCTGCTGTCACCTGGTTTTACTCCTGATATTTACATGTGATTTCTTAACAGTGACAGAAAGAAATGGGAAGAGACCACAGGCTCATTTAGTTCATCACAAAGATCATGGACCTCTTCCTGAATGTTTTTAAAGCCTTCAGAAGGCTTCACGATCTTCCCCAGTAAAGATGCCACCTTGGACCACTCACATTTATTTTCTGTTCCATCCATCTCAATCATCAGTTTGTCAATCTTCTCTTGTTCTGTGACATTCAGTTTCTACAAGGAAGAGGGAAGAATGAGGGTTTGGTGTCACTCTTATCTGCATAACCTTTGCTCCCATAACATGGAATCTGACTTTGAAATTGTGTAAAATCAAAATCAATGGGGAGACACAAAACTGCCTTTTGCTTGCTTTCAAGATTATCAGACATTTATTCACCCAAGAACGAAACAAAGATGGAGGCTCCAAGACACAATGCTTGTGTTGTGTCAAATGGTCTACCCAGGAAGCCCTAAGTGACTTTACACACAAGAGAATTGTCAGGTATGTGCTATGTAAACCACTGCCACCAAGGAACATGGCTTTCATAGGCAGTAGATAAACAAAGCTCACTGTTCACTCATGAAGACCGAGCCCTTGAAAGGCAGGCTCTGTTGCTCACTTGGCTAACCTCAAAGACAGCAAATCCTCATCCTCTGATGGGAGGCATTATTTCTGCAAATCGTCCGAAATCATTTAGCAAAGCATCTAATGATGGATCAAAATGAGTTCCTGATGAGACTATAAAGTAATAAAACTGATGTACTGGGAACTGGCTCAAAGTAATCCAATAAAAATCAGCATTACTTTTTAATGTTTTTAAAATTTTTTATTTTTGAGACAGTCTTGCTGTCACCCAGGCAGGAATGCAGTGTCACGGTTTTGACTCACTGCAACCTCCACCTCCTAGGCTCAAATGATCCTCCAAATTCAGCTGGGACTCTAGGTGTGCACCATGATGCCTGGCTAATTTTGGTATTTTGTAGAGATGGGTTTCCCCATGTTGCCCAGGCTGGTCTCCAACTCCTAGCCTCAAGGGATCTGCCTGCCTCAGCCTCCTACAGTGTTGGGATTACAGGCATTAGCCACTGCGCCCAGCCAAAAATCAGCATTACTTTTCAAACTTACTAATATATTAATAACAAGGCATTACTTTTATATACAATATTCTTGATACAAAAAATATGCAAAGAAAATCAACTGATCTCATGCTGTATTAGCAATTTGGTGTCTTCTTGCAGCTTTGTCAAGGCATCACCGAAACAAGCAGGCAGTTGCCCAAGCACACAGCTTCAGAGGCCAGTCCTCACTAACAGTTTGGTATGTTTCTCCCAAGGGGAAAAAAATGCCAGGGGATGCCCCGCTCATCACACGAGTCACACTCCATAAGGGTACGAAGGGACAGAGTAAGGTATGTGTGGAGGTATGTCCAGGAGACTGGCAGGGGTTGGTACTGGCAGATTTCATCTGGGGGCCAGTCGGGCAGAGGGTGATTACAGAGTGTCACAAAAGCAAGGCCTAAACCAACAGGTCAGGGACAGAGACAAAGCAGCGCCTGCTTTTCCCTCATGTACAGAATGAATTCCCGGAGGAGAGGGACTAGACAGATGCAGAGACGGAGGCTGTGGCTGGGCTAGCACTGGGCCTAGAGAGCTTTGTGATTTTTATTTTTATTTTTGAGATGGAATCTTACTTTGTTGCCCAGGCTGGAGAGCAGTGGCACAATCTCTGCTCACAGCAACCTCTGCCTCCCAGCTTCGAGTGATTCTCATGCCTCAGCCTCCCGAGTAGCTGGGACTACAGGCGCACGCCACCACACCTGGCTAATTTTTGTATTTTTAGTAGAGATGGGGTTTCACCACGTCGGCTAGACTGGCCCCCAATTCCTGACCTCAAGTGATCCCTACACCTTGGCTTCCCAAAGTGCTGCGTTTAGAGGCATGAGCCACTGCACCTGGCCCAGAGCATTTTTAGACAGGGGTTTTCAAACTGGTCTCATCTGACAAGTGCCACAGATATTACGGAGGGAAGGGCTGAAGGGAGAGTAATGAGGTAAAAACCTGCTGAGTTGGGTGTCTGCTAGGTCCCCAGCCCTACCTCACCTCCAGCAGCTCTACTTTTGTATCTGACATGTTGAAGGTTTCCAGGATGATTTTACTTAACAGGAAGGAACTTCACTGTTAAAGTCAATAGAATTATAGTAAATAATTCCAAAGTTCATGAGAAATTAGTCACCATGGACACTATCACAAACACCCCTGAGAAAGCTGCTCTTAAAATCTGGATCTTAATTTCCCAAAGGCCCCGAGAGTTGCAGGCGAGAAAAACACCTCAGGGTGCTAAGTGTCTCTCTTCTGATGCAATTCCATCTGCTATCAGAAGTAGACAGTCAGGTAGCAGGCAGGTTAGAATTATGTCGTGCACGGATTGTTCTCATGCATGACAGGGAATCCGATCGGCTTCTGTAGCTCTCAGAATAAGCTCTTCCATAAACAGGAGAGCCCCTGGGCCTGGGAGACACTCGGGTGGCATTAGATACATTAGTTATCAGGAAGCAGGTCCTACCTTGCTAACCAGGGCAGGCGCAATAGTTTTATTGATGTGCTCAACAGCCTTTGAGACACCTAGAAGGAACAATTAAATCAAATTACTGACATTAACTTTAAAACAAGGCTCGAGCAGCACTGCTAAAGAGAACCGCTGTTGAGGCCGACCCGGAAGCCCACCAAAGGACCTTCCGTGGGACCTCTTCCCCCTCTCCCCTTCCCCCCAGAATCGGAGAACTTTCTGGCCCAGTCTGAGTGCTCCTACCTAGGACCCCAGAGGGTTAGAGCCACACCAAGAGCAGCTGGCTCACAGCGATCTGACAGGAAGTTAGTTTGCAAGACCATGCACTGGAAACACCAGCAGCAGCCTAAAGGCTGTCCAATCAGTTACCTGAGTGCACAGGGCTGGTGCCAGGAACTCATTAATATACTTAACGGGTCTGGAGACGCCTGCCCGGCAGAGGAGGATGAAGAAGGAAAAATGAGAGAGAGACTCAGAAGAGAACCGGTGATGAAGGACTGCGAGTGAGAGACAGCGAGGGACAGGAAAGCAGAGGCGAGCATTTCAGCGACCATGCGTTCAATCTTCCACAAATGCTGACTTACTGAGCACTCATTACCATTAAGGAACAGCACCATCCTGCTCCGGGTAAGTCCCCACGTAGGCCATTGAATGGTGACATGGTAAGATGTTTGTGTGCGGAGAGTGCTTCTTAGAGCATTACAGCAGACTGAACACCCAGCACCACCACTGCGACACCAGCCCAGCATTTCCCAACATGATTTCACATTGCCCCTTCCCTGCGGCCTTTCTGGAGTTTTCCGGGTGCCCTGCTACCCCATTGAGAATGTATGATCTAGCCCTATGTGCTTGTCTGTAATTTGACCACATATTCTATCTATAGACAGGTCAAAGTTGCACAAACACTAAGTCAGTTTGAATACAGCCAGTTAGAGGCTGGCTTTGCCAAAGAGCAGGGCTTCTGTGAGTCATTCAATAGGAAAATCAAGCTAAATGACACATCTGTAGCTCACCATTAAGGGTAGGCCATTGGCTAGACCTCCCCTGGATACCTCCTTGCCTTGAAGAAGCTAATCTGTAGGGCCCACAGAACCCTCCTGAGAGATGGGGAGCCTTTTCTTTAGTTAACAGGCCCTGTTCTCATCCTTGGGTTCCTGTCTTAACCATGGAGTGTTTCGTAGATTGTGGACAAAGTGCAATCGAAACAAGCATTAAAACTCTCGAGCCTGAGCGTGAAGGGTTAGGAAACCTGGAATCAACACATCAACTTTCCTGTCCACGTGGTGGGGCAGTGCTTCCATTAACATCATGGGTTACAGCAGGTTTACTAGCCATAAACCTGCAAATCCAAGCCCCCACCACCCTAGAGAGGAAGACAGGACTGGGCAAGGCCAGGAGCAAGGGCTGGAGGCAGGGAGGCCATGGGCTGTGGGTTTTTAAGGCTTACCCTTCCCCATATAGCGAGTCTTATCATTGTCCCGGAGCTCTAGGGCCTCATAGATACCAGTTGAAGCACCACTGGGCACAGCAGCTCTGAAGAGACCTGGATGAGAAGGAAAAAGACAATACTAGCCATTAAGAAATCCAGTTACAGCACAAGCCCCAGCTCCTTCCCACCCACAGTGGCATCTGTCATTAGAGAACTGTTTCTTCCTCTCACCAGCTGGGGGATTTAAATGCTCCGGCCTGTTCTTTGTGCCTTTCATGTGCTTATGATCCTGTACTGCAAACCTTACTACAAAGATGACTAATTCCCCTAGCAGAAAGAAACCGCTCTCCAGTAGAGCCTGCATACCACCTGGGGTCTTGTTAAAATGCAGATTCTGACCCAGGACATCCGAGTATGTATCACTCACAAGCTTGCATTAGTGCCCTGTGGATTACCCCAGAAGCACTGCCCGACAGAAATACAATGCGAGCCATACAGGGCATCGAAGATGTTCTGGTACTATACGTATGTGTGTGTATGTATCTATAAATATACATGTGCTTGTTTTGTTTGTTTTGAAACAGTCTCACTATATCCCCAGGCTGGAGGGGCGCATGGCATGGCATATGGCATGATCTTGGCTCACTGCAACCTCTACCTACCGGGTTCAAGCGATTCTCCTGCATCAGCCTCCCCAGTAGCTGGGATTACAGATACCCGCCACTGCACCAGACTAATTTTTGTATTTTTAGTAGAAATGGGGTTTCACCATGTTGGCCAGGCTGGTCTTGAACTCATGACTTCGTGATCCACCTGCCTCAGCCTCTCAAAGTGCTGGGATTACAGGCCTGAGCTACCACACCCTGCCAGATATTATATTGATGTTAAGCATGAAATTAGGAAATTTATCGGCTCAGGAGGAATATCTAGCTGATTTCTTTCAGTTTGGACAATGCTAAATGCTATTTTGGGGATTCTATGCTCAACTGGGAGCCAGCAAAGAGTATGGATGTGAGGGGAAGGAATAAAGAAAATAAAACGTGCGGTCTAATAAATACAAAAACCGAATCAAGTAATCTTGCAGATTCTGAAACCAGCCATCTGGTGAAACCTACGCCATTAAGCGTAACAAGAGCAATTTTTGGAGGAGGTAAAAGAACAGATGGTGTCAAGGAAGGTGTTGCAGATATCTGCTTAGGTGGGGCAGACAGGTTTAGGGGAGCAGAAAGTGTAGGCAGCCCCCTGAATCTACTTGAAGGTAGAAGAAGTTTCTCCATTTGAGGTGTGTGGAGTGTGAAGGCAAATGACAAAACAACAAAAAACAAAAACAACATCAAAAAACAAAAAACCACCAACCAAACAAAAAAACCACCAGGTATTTCCAGCAAAGGACCCACCAGTGTTCCCCATTGCACTGCAGTGTGTTAGGACAGACTTTCTTCTTGGAACCCGACCTGGGGCTCCCTACATATCCACCCGGCACTGGATTGGGCAAAGATGAGATGAAAACAAGAGGCTTGGGTCTGTGGACTTTTGGGGATAATGATGTGTATGCATAGTTACCACTCTGGTGGGGATGTTGACAATGGGGGAGACTACGCACGTGCAGGGGCAGCGGGTACACGTGGGTTCATGTGGGTGCACGGGCCTCTGCACTTTCCGCCTGCTTTTGCTGTGAAGCTAAAACCTAAAACTGCTCTAAAAAAAGGCCATGAGATAGGAAGAGAGACGAAGATGAAATGTTCTGAACAAGTTATCGTGTTTTTCGAAAAGGATTAAGACATAGAAGAGAAGCTCCATTCATTTCAATTTCAAAATGTCTGCCTCCCAACAATCCCCTGGTGTCTGGGGTCTTTCGTTGCCTGAAGTTCAGTAATTTCCAACCAGAAAGTTCTACTCATTGACTAAGTAAACCAGTCTCACTGGATGAAGCAAATTCTTGCATCCTGTGAGAGCCCTCAGGATTCTGGAGAAACCCCTCTGTGCCTGAGAGCCCACAGAGCAAGCAGCCAGAGGCAGAACACAGGCAGTCTTTTGCCCTGTTAAGTCAGGCCTCAAGGATCCTTCCTTCCTGAGGGGGAGGGGAGGTGCGGGGGAAGGGAAGGGCTGGGGTTCCACTGCTAGGGTGACTCACAGAGCGTGACTCAGCTCTGACTGGCAATTCTCTATAAGTTTAGCACCCCTGAGTGATTCTGCCTGAAGCTCCTTTGCCAACCCTGTCCACTGCGCCATGTGCTGGACGTAACGAAGGGCTACAGAGGCACTGGATTTTCTTCTTACAGTAAAAGGAAGGAGGAGTTTCCCCATTCTGTTGTTTTTTTCTTAAGAAAACTTCTCCAATGGGGATTGATGGCCAGGTAAAAATGAGAGCCTCTGGATTATTCCCAAGCCCACGAGTAAAAACTGTCCTTGATCCTTGCTGAAGAGTGATTTCTAGACACAGAGATAAGGGTGCTAAGTTCACGCCTGCTGGCCCTCCCCTCATCTCTTTCCCTATCAAGAGAGACCATCCTATCATGCTGTCATCGCCATATTTGGTCACAGCAAGCTGTTAGCCAACAACTAGTGATGGGCCCTTTTAGGGACAAGGTCTCATGGTATCACCTTACTTACTTCCTTACCTCACTGACTTAGGAGCCAACTTATGTGGTTTTAAGCCAAGGGGCACCAAGATACTGGCTACATGCCGAAAAATCCCCCAACCCTGCTTGTCAGGAATCACAACCTACTAGCACAAGCAGACAGAAAGAAAAGCTTTAATTGATTTTTTTTTTTGCCCAAGGCTCCAGTATTTGTACAAAAATTTAAAAACAAAGCGTGGTAGAAGGAATTGTGGAAACCAAGGTGGCACATACCTTTTGCGGTGAAGAGATCAACCTCAACAGTGGGATTCCCACGAGAGTCAAAGATCTCCCTGGCATGGATCTTGAGAATAGACATGGTGGATTTCTGTAGGGGGAAATACACAGGTCATATTTTCCATAAGCCATAACGCTGCATTTGCTTACTCATTCAAGGAATCACTTCCGAGGTTCGTGGACTGTGAAGAATTGGCATTGGACTGAATACTGGATGTTGGAAAGCTGGTGAGGGTGGGGGGAAAAGCCTGCTGGAAAGCAGTGGGAATTCTCCTAAATAAGTAGTTAGACCTAGCTCTGGAAGGCCTTAAGCTATTTATGCCTAGTGTTCCATTATTGGAACACTAAGCGTGTGGGAGTTATTTTTATTCTACTGCCCAAGTCATCGCCAAGGTTTGATTTTTCACAAAAAATATTTGGAACCTCCGGCATAAATGGTTTAAGCCCCAGCAACTGAGGTCTTGTTCTGTAAGCAAAAAAAGAGAAAAAGCCCACAAATTTGTGTGCCCAGGGAGAAATCAAATCTAACTGGAACGATGAATGTGTTGCTAGATGCAGAACTGGCTACTGTCATGAGCGAACAACGAGGGTTGGCAGGGGAATGGAAAGGAACCAAGAACAGACATGAAGGTCACAAGCAAAACCACTAGGACGAGGCCAAAACGGGGTGGGGGGACCTGGCGAAAATCTGGCTTGTAGCAGAATTAAAATAGTGAATCACAAATTTGGCCATAATTCTTCAGATTAAATTTGAGACAGGAGCAGAATATTCACTTGGTAGATACTGAAAATAAAATTCTGAGTTTGGAGGTCAGGAACAATGAAATCCTTGGACTGTGATCTTTCCTACTACCATTTTCTGGGACTTTCAGATTTCACAGTACTTGGGTCTTCAGTATTGTTACGTCATTAATGACGACATCTTTATTTTGATTACTTTTTTTAAGACACGGGGGTCTCACTATGTTGCCCAGGCTGGTCTCAAGTAATCCTCCCCTGCCTTGGCCTCCCAAAGCATGCTAGGATTATAGGGGTGAGCTACCAAGACCAGACAATAATGACATCTAATTAGTATTTCTTTCCAAGTGGGCTTTATAATTTGGAAATAGAGGAAAGATTCTCTGAACACCAGGGTACTTCAAGGGAAGGGGCTTCCTTTGAAAACACTTGAAAAAAACAAAACAAAACAAAAAAAACCCAAGAATTTGCAGCAATGAAAAACAAATAGCAATTCCTTAAAGAAAAACCCTTTCTTACTTTTTTCCTTGGTGCCCTCCAAAGAAACTAACTGAGCAACTTACAGAACCCAGGTGGGTGAGAGGAACTTAGTGTTCAAAGCCATTATCTAGCTGGGCTCCCCTCCAACATCTCCTCTGGAATGTCCTGGGGCAGCAAATGGCAGATTTTTAACTTTCAAAATTAGATACTGAAGTCACTTGTGTGGCTTTGTAGTCTATGTAACAATGGAATTTTATTCATTAGCCAAGAAAAATGTATTTAGTTTTTATCTACTAGGTTCCAAAAAGGCAAGTTTATTTAAACATATTTTTAGAAATAAGCTAATATTGCATTTTGGCAAATTACATACTCGAGTAACATTTCTATCACTGCAAAAAGTTCTCTCAGGTCGTTTCTAGTCAATATCCCCCTGCCCCATTTCCAGACCACCACTGTGATTTACTTTGTGTATCTCAGACATACTTTTACAGGCAATTTTATGAGGGCACCTCAGCGTTTTGGGTTTCATTTTAGTGACTTAAGACAAAGGTCTTGCAATGTGAAAATAAAATGTAAGCGATCTTTAAGTTGGATAGACAAACTATTCTGCAAAGTTGTCAAAGCTCAGGAGCACAGGCAGGGAGGAGGGTTGGTCTGACTTCAACATTCACTGCCTTTTTTTTTTTTTTTTTTTTGAGACAAGAGTTTCACTCTTCTCGCCCAGGCTGGAGTGCAGTGGCGCCATCTGGGCTCAGTGCCTCCTGGGTTCAATTGATTCTCCTGCCCCAGCCTTCCGAATGGCTCGGACTACAGGCGGCTGCCACCACGCCTGGCTAATTTTTGTATTTTCAGTAGAGACGGGGTTTTACCACGTTGGCCAGGCAGGTCTAGACATCGTGATCCGCCCAGCTCGCCCTCCCAAAGTGCTGGGATTACAGGCGTGAGCCACTGTGCCCAGCCCATTCGAAGCTTTTTAGTTGCCTAGATGGAACCCCAAATTAGGGACTCAGTAAATGAACCGAGCAGTTAGGGTCTGGGTGGGCCCGAAAGGCAAGTCAAGTCATGGACACCACCGCCCAGAGAGAAGCGCACAGCGCAGGGGAACAGCAAACAGGAAGCTTTCTTAAAATACATCCTTCTTAAGTCAGATCATGGCCCGACTGCTGGTGGCCAGCCGGGGAGCCGCTCTTGCCCAACTTGGGCGAGGTTGCCTGGAGGGCTTCCCAATGATCCAACGGCTCTGCGGCAGGTTCCTCGTGAAGAGGTGCCTTCTCGGAGGGAAATGAGTCACCAGCCTACGGGGCAGAAGCGCGGGCAGGGGCTGCAGGTGGGGGAGGGGGGCGCAGCCTCGTGGGCATCTCCCCTCTCGGACACCCTCCTCCATCTTAGGAAGGGCCTGGCCTGAGTGCGCACCGCCAAGTCTGCGTTTCTCCCAAAAACCTTACACTTGGCTACAATGGAGAAGCAACTTCCACTCCCAGTTGCACACGCGAGCTAAGAGACTCGCGAGTCCAGCTCCCGACCTTCCCCGACAGTGACCCAGCCCTGCAGTCCGAAACCACGTGCTGACCTGCACTTTCCCCTCCAAAGAAACTGGGGGCCCTGCATGTACGCCTAGCATTGCGCTCCCGCCCCGGGCCTCGGGGTGGGCGGAGGCGCCAGTTCCCACCCGGGGAGATGGCTCGCACGCGCCCCCGACTCCGCCACGCTGGGCCTGCGGGCGCGCGGCCTCCCGGTGAGGGGAAAGAGCCCGGCTCGTCCAGAAAAGCCCTGCGTTGCTTGCCGGTTGCTCAGCCCCTCACCGATCATTACCTAACCGCCGGGTCTCGTCGCCTGGGGGAGAAGCGGAGAGGGCTGCAGACACCGAGATGAGCGTTAAGCCGGAGAGGTCTGCGCGCTTCAGGGTCCTCACAGCTTCTGTCCGCGCCGCCCGCGCCGACTTCCTGCCCAGCTAAGGGAGGCCCCACCCACTTCCCGCCTCCCTGGCACGCCCCCTCAGCACCGCCCCGCCACTGGTCACGAGAGCCGTCACTCGGGCCCTCACCTCCCTGAAAGGGGCGTGCCGTTGCGACGGTGGCAGCGGCAGGGAAAGGGGGGCGACGATCCGGTGACGTGAGGCGGGCGGATCTGGGGGACCCAGACTCCCTAGAGGCCCTGTCGTGGTGCCGGCGAAACTCTGACCCCAGATGGGACCCTTGAGCTGAAATGGGGTGTGCGGAGCCGGGGCCCTGGGGGAGGGCCCGGGACGGCGCGGCGGGCATGAGGGCTCCGGACTCTGTCACGTACTCCGAGTCCCGCACGCACTCAGCGTCGCTCCGGGGCCGCCGGTCTGGCCCTCAACCTTGCTGACGACTTTGGCGGCCCGCGCCGGCCCCGGCCCTCCTACCCCGCGCCGCAATCCGGGAGACCCCGCTGGCGTCGAGACGTTGAGTAGCTGAGCGCCTCGGCCTCACTCGGGTTGGGGCGCCGGCCATGCCGCAGCGCTGCGTGTCGGGGGCCACGTGCGCTGCCTGCGCCTGCGCACTGTCCCCCAGCCGCGCCCATCCGGCCGGGCTCCGCCTGCCGCTCGCCAAGGTGACCCCGTCCCTTTCTCCTTGCTGCGGCGAGCATCAGGCCGAGACAGCCAAAGGAAGCTTCACTTCCCTTTAGTTCTGCCTCATACTTTTTGAGTGCCTCCTAGGTGCCCGGCGCACCCCCACCTGCTAACCCAGCGTTAATTCATTCTCCAGCCCATGTTCTGGCTGCATCTGAAATGTCACATTCCCCCTCATTACCATCTAGGGAACTAGATCAAATCTACCTGGATTCTTGTGAACCATTTATGTACATTTTTTGGGACTGGAGTTTCACATAGACCCGGAGAGTTTCTCAAAGTTCAAGACTAGTCCTATTCCATGCAATATGGAAGGAGTTGGTGGATGATTGCACCTTTCTGATCAAGAACTGATAGCCATTACAACTCAGCTCCACAGTACCTCCCCCTCCACTCTAAGGGAGGGTTGAAAGGGTCACTCTGTTTTCTGTTATGGTTACTTTTGTATTTTTCAACATCACTGCTGGTCTGTAAGAGAACTAAACATCTCCTGATTTTCCTCATTTCCTTGCAAAGAGATGTTCAAATATATACTTGAATTTATTATTTCTTCTGGTCAGCTGCAAAAAACTGCTTTTCTTCCTTAACCCCTAGCATTTTCATCCTCGTAGCTACTGAGAGGTTTCCAAGGCGTTGGTTAAAAGTGAAGGCATATTTCGTCCGTAGTATTTGTTTTCCAGTGGGTAAGAAGCAAAAACTTCAAGATTAAATTCAGAAAAATAATTGTAAAATGTTTTATTCGTGTAAAGGATTACACGAATTTTGCAAGCAGAGTTTGTGATTTCACCAGCAATTCACTGATGTTTTTGGCTACTTAAAACCAATATCCCCAGCCCCATGACTCAGCAGCTAAATCAACAGCCCACATCTACTGGTAAGAACTCTAAGAAATCAGGCACTTGGTACTTTTACTTTCAGAGCAGTTCTAAGGCGGGGCCCTGAAATGGCTCCAATCTTATTTTACATGAAAATGGTTAGGGAGATAAAGATACTCTGCTCCTGCCAGAACCAGTAAATCTAGCAAAAATCAGAGGCAGAGTGTGATCCCGGGCTGCCACTGTTGTAAGATTCTTGGAGGCTGCAGCTCCACAGTCTGAGCCAGCACTTTGACCTCACATTGTAGCTAAAATGTTAATGATTACTAGAGATGTCCTGAAATCTTTTCCAAAATTCGTAGGCTGCCAAATGTCTTCCCTGTTTCCATAGCTCCTGAGGCTTTGTTAGCAGGCTGCGGGGTTCACATTTGCTTGTAGTCAGCGGAAGAGCATTTAGTTATTATTTTTCACTTGCTGCAAGTTTGTTGAGCAGTTTTATTGGTGGTGGGCAGGTGGGGCATAACTGTCCAGGGCTAGCGGAATGCCACATCTTGAAGCACTGTAGGTAGCACATTCATGGTGTCTGCAGGTTACTGGGAGCAAGGGAAAGTGAATCTGCTACGGCCTATAACTCGCTTAGATTATTGATTCTACCTGTGATATGTGTGTAAAAACCACCGGTCAGCTGGAGAAGGTGGTCTTGATGAAAGAGGGTCTCCAGCCAGATAGGGAACCTCAGGGTAGGATGAGGAGCTCTGGGGAGGTAAGATACCAGATGAGTGCAGAAGGCCGTGGGGGATCTAGGTGAATGGTCCTGCCTCATGACAGATCATACGGTTTTAGTATTTGGTTATCACTCGTATTTCACATACACCCGAGACCATATAAAGTGTATATAAATGTCTCTGTACCCACATCCCACTTAAGAAATGGAACATTAGAGTCCAGGCTTGGTGGCTCACACCAGTAATCCCAGTACTGTGGGAGGCTGAGGCAAGAGCATTCTCCTGCCTCAACCTCCCAAGTGGCTGGGATTATGGGCATCCACCACCATGCTCGGCTAATATTTTTGTGTTTTTAGTAGAGACGGGTTTCACCATGTTGGCCAGGCTAGTCTTGAATTCCTGACCTCAGGTGATTAACTCACCTTGGCCTCCCAAAGTGCTGGGATTGCAGGTGTGAGCTACATGCCTGGCCTGTTTTAATTTAATTTAATTTATTTTTTTCTTTTTTGAGACAGTCTCTCTCTGTTGCCCAGGCTGGAGTGCAGTGGTGCAATCTTGGCTCACCACAACCTCTGCCTCCTGGGTTCAAGCGGTTCTCCTGCCTCAGACTCCTAAGTAATTGGGATTACAGGCACCCTCCAACATGCCCAGCTAAGTTTTGTATTTAGTAGAGATGGGGTTTTACCATGTTGGTCAGGCTGGTCTCGAACTCCTGACCTCGTGATCTGCCCACCTTGGCCTCCCAAAGTGCTGAAGTTACAGATGTGAGCCACCCCACCTGGCACTATTTTATTTTTTGAGAGGCAGCCTCACTTTGTCACACAGGCTGGAGTGCAGTGGTGTGATCTTGGCTCACTGCAACCTCCGCCTCCTGGTTTCAAGCATCAAGTGATTCTCCTGCTTCAGCCTCCCAAGTAGCTGGGATTATAGGCACCCGCAACCATGCTCAGCTAAGTTTTGCATTTTTTTTTTTTTTTTTTTTTTGAGACGGAGTTTCACTCTTGTTACCCAGGCTGGAGTGCAATGGCGCGATCTCGGCTCACCGCAACCTCCGCCTCCTTGGTTCAGGCAATTCTCCTGCCTCAGCCTCCTGAGTAGCTCGGATTACAGGCACGCACCACCATGCCCAGCTAACTTTTTGCATTTTTAGTAGAGACGGGGTTTCACCATGTTGACCAGGATGGTCTCGATCTCTTGACCTCGTGATCCACCCGCCTCGGCCTCCCAAAGTGCTGGGATTACAGGCTTGAGCCACCGCGCCCAGCCCAAGTTTTGCATTTTTAGTAGAGACAGGGTTTCACCATGTTAGCCAGGATGGTCTCCATATCCTGACCTCGTGATCCACATCTCTGCTTCCCAAAGGGCTGGCATGAGGTGTGAGCCACCATGGCTGGCCATATTTTATTTTTAAATATAAATTTTTTTTTATAAGTACCAAACACTTCACAAATTTCCATGCCGTCTTTGCACAGGGCCCATGCCGGTCTTCTCTGTATCATTCCAATTTTTTTTTTAGTATATGTGATGCCGATTTTTTTTTTTTTTTTTTGATGGAATCTTGCTCTGTAACCCAGGCTGGAGTGCAGTGACGCCATCTCGGCTTGCCGCACCCTCCACCTCTTGGGTCCTGGTTCAAACAATTCTCCTGCCTCAGCCTCCCAAGTAGCTGGGATTACAGGCACGCACCACCACGCCCAGCTTTGTATTTTTAGTAGAGACAGGGGTTTCACCATGTTGGCCAGGCTGGTCTTGAACTCCTGACCAGAATCCACCCGCCTTGGCCTTCCAAGGCTGGGATTACAGGCATGATCACCCACCTCGGCCTCCCAAAGTGCTGAGATTACAGGCGTGAGCCACAGCGCCAGGCCGCTGCAGAGTTTTTCCAACAGTTATGCTAGGTTGGCATTCCTCAGGGTGCCCAAATGAGAGGTGAGAGGATTAAGTAACAAGGCCCAGCGGAGCAGCAGAAGCCAGGAAACAGCAGGCACCTGGGAACAGAGTTACCCTGGGAGGAGTTGATGAAAGGGGGCCCAAGTCAGAGCTGAGATAGAACACCTCCAGGAAAGTCCATCTCAGCAGGCATCAGAGGAAAGCACCTCTATTTGACATCAAAGAACTCAGCATGGCCTCCCTCAGGGCCCCAGAACCTTTATCTTCGGGATGGATGTAATGATAGTATCCTCTGGAGAAGCTCGCAGTCTGGGAATTATTGCTTCAAGCTAGAATGGACACCTAGAAGGCACTAATATCCCTAAATAGCATCTGCAGGAGGCTTTTCAGCCAGTTTTCTTTTCCTGTGTCTCTGTTCCCCACCTCTTTATCACAGAATTTTTTTTTTTTGAGACGGACTTTCACTCTTGTTACCCAGGCTGGAGTGCAATGGCGCGATCTCGGCTCACCACAACCTCCGCCTCCTGGGTTCAGGCAATTCTCCTGCCTCAGCCTCCTGAGTAGCTGGGATTACAGGCACGTACCACCATGCCCAGCTGATCTTTTGTATTTTTAGTAGAGATGGGGTTTCACCATGTTGACCAGGATGGTCTCGATCTCCCGACCTCATGATCCACCCGCCTCGGCCTCCCAAAGTGCTGGGATTAGAGGCTTGAGCCACCATGCCCGGCTTATCACAGAATTTTTAAGGTTGTCGCTGAGGTTAAGGTTGTCACAGTGTCACTTAGAGGCAGGAGTGCTGACCCCTGAGACGGCCCTCGTCTTGAAAGGAAGTGAGGTCAGATAACGATTGCTGAGTTCCAGATGGAAAATCAGGAGCCAAGTTATTCAGAAGGTAGCGGTCCCACGTGATTCAGGCGTGGGGAGCAGGGTTTCACCACGCCTTCAGGCACACCACAAGATAATGAGAAAATTCTCCCTGCATTGATCACAGACCAATAAAGTTGCTGGGCTGGGCACAGTGGCTCACCTCTATAATCCCAGCCCTTTGAGAAGGCGAGGTGCTCAGGAATTCAAGACCAGCCTGGCCAACATGGTGAAACCCAGTCTCTACTAAAAATACAAAAATCAGCTGAATGTGGTGACAGGTGTCTGTAATCCCAGCTACTCAGCAGGCTGAGGCAGGAGAATTGCTTGAACCCGGGAGGTGGAGGATGCAGTCAGCGGAGACAGCGCCATTGCACTCCAGCTTGGGCGACAAGAGAGAAATTGTTTCAAAAAAGAAAGAGACTTTCTGATTTTCCACAAATCCCTTACCGTTTCCTTGAAGTGAAGTCCTTGGAAGTAAAGTCCCCAAACCTCCTGCGCTGGAATTCTCTGACTAACTTTAGGCTTTTTGTTGTTTGCTTGTCTTGTTTCCTGGTGGTCAGGGAAATGCTGAGGAGAGAATGGATTTCCGCACAGCCTTTGTCAGAGCCTCTCAGG